ACACATAATAATTCCATTACAACTACTGGACACTTCCCATTCAAAACCCTCTACGGCTATAACCCCGAATTTGTCATTGCTCCCAATTCCTCTAATACCGTCCCTCTGGCCGATGAGAGAGTAGCTGAAATGAAAGAAGTGCAGGAAGAAACCAAGGCAACACTAGAAATAGCAAATGACCGGATGAAGCGATTCTATGATCATGGAGTAAAGGACATACCAATATTGGAAGTTGGACAGAAGGTTTGGCTAGACGCCAAAAATATCAAACAACGGCGCCCAAGTCAGAAGTTGTCAGACCGCCGTCTTGGCCCCTTCGAAATACTCGAGCGAATAAGCAACGGATCAAATTGCCACAATCATATCAGATCCATCCGATATTTCATGTGGGATTACTCACACCCCACAAAACTTCCACACTAATGCCGTGAATTGCCCCCATACGTCCACCCCCAGAAATAGTCCAATCTGAAGAAGAGTATCAAGTAGAACAAGTAATAAGCAGCAGAATGCACCAACGGAAACTAGAATACAGAGTAAAATGGAAGGGGTATCCATTAGAAGAAGCGACATGGGAAAGTGAGGAAAATCTGAAGAACTCCCCCAGATTAGTCAGCGAATTTTACACCACACACCCTGATGCTCCAAAATCACATCAAATCGCTTGTTCTGTCATTCCAATTCTACAGACACCCGGTTTCCTCGAATGGAGACAAAAAAATATACGACCATCTTACATTCGTGAGGATGCTCATCCTAGAAAGGGGGTAATGTCACAAATTCCAAACACGAATCATTTTTTGTTCCTTGGTTTCCCTCTAGCTATTTTGAGTAACCGAACCGGTCACGTGACTTCACTTCCTGTCACACCTTCACCTCTTCACATATCACCTGTTGCTTCTCCGATTGGCTCCCCTACTCCATGGGCTAGAACAATCTCACTTCCCAAAGAAGAACCGGTCGGATCCTGGGTTTCTGTTTAGTAATCGTCTTACTCATTCGCTTATATATCATGATGTCATGCTCAGTCATCCACAGTATCATACAACTCTTTTCTCATTGGCTGATTTCTTTCATACTCAGATATCTCCTATTCAATGTTATGTATAAAAGTAGGTTAGTTAGTGTAAGTACTCCTTAGACTTAACCTCTTTGTTCTCTACAATTGTAGTAGACCTAGACGTTCATGCTCAATCCTATCTGTTGATCATCATCATCTGTGACCGAGTCCTAGTGGTTGTTGTCTGACTTTACCATTTGGTGAACTCAGGTCATAACACCAATTCGCCAACAGTCCTTTCTCAATCTATTCAGTTGTTATGAGTGAAGCTTGTACCTGAGGGGTAGGTTTATTGTTCTGATTCATTTGAAGCCAAGACATAGTGAAGGTTTTTGTTATTCATATAGAACTATCCTTCACTTCCTTGCTGGATATTACCAAACCTCAAATTTACACAGGCATCGAATCCGACAAGGATACTGTCATAATCTCCAACTCGTTAGATAATTGGCCCATGGACGTGTAAGTCTTCTTTAAGCTTCTTTACTTTGATTCGCATCACGGGATGAGTGCTTGTAGCACTGCTTTTATCCACCAATGTGTTTTGTGACTCTCTCTTTGAACTTACTGTGTTTCTTTAGTGATACTGTATATGTAGACTGCGACGGCACCCTACATGCAATGCTGGTGATTACAGTAAAATAGTGTTGCCAGGTCAGGTCAGTCAACCCATCTCTTGGATGCAAACAACTGCTCAGAATGCTGCATGATACAGTACTATCTTAGGCGAGCAATGTGGCCCAACGTGAAAACTTGCTGATCCTATACCATGGTTTTATTTCATTGTCACAATTGTCTGTTATTTCTCTCTGTTCCTGCCTACGCCTCTCACAATTATTCTCTGAATAGAACTTGATCACCATTTCTATTCGGCCAACGACCTGCAGATGTGGCCATCTCTGAGAGCTCTGACGTGGCACAATCACCTCGCACCACTTATTTGCTTTATGTTGTTGTCATTTGTATCTTGTCACTCATTTTTTCGTCTCATTGTATTGCATTGTTTCAGGTCTATGGTACCTCTGCTCACTCTCTAACTACTTTTTAGTATGGTAGATTTCTGTATGTTGCCTCCTTAATTTCCGCATTTTTCACTCAGGCGGTTCCCCTTCTTTTGCTTTCTGTTAGGTACTGTGCTGGCTCAGGAGGCAGAGGGGTCAGGGCTTGGCTTCAGCTCTTGCACTGCGCCCTTAGCCGAGTACGTGCCCCAAATTTGGAGTGGGTCCGACGATAGGACGAGTGGACCGCTTTTGTCCGCTTTGAGGGCCAGTGTTAAGGTCGTGCTCAAGGGAGAGGTTACTCAAAGGGCTTTGGCTTCAGCTCATGCACTGCGCCCCTTACCCGAGTACGTGCCCTTTAATTTCTGGGGGACAGAGGGGAAGTCCGACGGAAGTCTGGGGAGTTCTGGAGGACTTAGTGTCGGTGGAGTTTGGCGGAACTCCGGAAGGTTTATACGGGGATGGAGTAAGGCTACTATGGAAGTCTGGAGTAGAAACTGAACAGAGGTTAGACTACCCTAAGGTAGAGCCGGAGAAGTAGTCCAAAGGTTTAACCCCTAAGACTCGGAGGTGGACAAGAGGTGAGACTCAAGTCCAGAGATTGCAGGAATGAGCAGAACTAAGATGATATTCGAACTGAGGAGTTCCGGAGTATTACAGGGGTTTATATACTGTAGGTAACATGTAAGTAAATCAGTCAGCAAAGGTAAGGGCTATGTATGAAGCATGTGGAAAGTCTATTACTAAGTGTAGTGGATCAAAGCAGTGAAGTCAGAAATGAAGTAGGAATGGACGGATCAATAAGCATAGCGGAAAGAACATAACTGGTAACTGGAGCAATAGCTAATCTAAAAGGAGTTAGGGGTGAGTGTGGAGATGAAGGCGGAGCACTGGGCGGAATAGTAAGATGGAGGACCAGACTTTAATGAAGTAGATCCGGAGGTACGGGATATGACAGTCAGGAAGTAAGAGCTACTAGCGGCAAGCCAACTAGGAGCAGAGCGGAGAAGGCAGGGAGTGATGCGGAGGATGGATAGGAGCAGGGGGAAGGCTTGGTAGGAGCGGGAAGTGTTATGATCAGCGTTCACCAAATGGTAAAGGCCTAACACAACCACTAGGACTCGTCAAGGATAAGAGCAAAGAGATGATATTGAGAGTGAACGTCTGAGTCTACACTGGGTAGGAACGAAGAGGTTAAGTCTAAGGAGTACTACTGACTACGACCTAAACTATATACTACTCTCTAAGCGGAGATATCTGAGTATGAAAGGTAGTGATATATCTATCTAAGATCATAACATTGCGCCTAGGGTATAGGGCGTCTTATCAACCAATCAACTACAAGAAAGAAAGGGTAGAGGGTTCATAGGGTTTAAGGGTATCGGTGATTAAGCAGGGTTCTCAGGGACTGCTTCTATTCAGGGTGAGCGGAGATTAAGAAGGGTGAGAGAGTTCTGTGACAAGAAGTCTCGAGCGGTAATTAAGGATCTCGATAAGAGATGGGATCTGGAGATGTATCAGGTACGATCGGATCTAAGGGTTCTCCAGGGTCTTCGGTAATTAGCATGCTTCTCTATGAGCGGTGCTTCTGTGATAGGGGTTCAGGGTTTAGCTGTGACTGTGCAACAGGTTCTAATGTAAGGGGTTCGGTGAATGACAGAGGTAACTCTTAACATGTCATGTGTGGGAAGTGAAGGTCTGCAATGTTAAAGGGATAATGACTCTTCGAGAGATAGCTCATAAAGGACTCTCGGTTATGGTTCGATCATAGAGGCGTGTAGATGCTTATGATGTAACCCGTGCCTAATCGTAGGACTTCTAAGGATGTTCGTATGTCTAGGGTTACGGATATAGATGGATGACGTCGATGTAGTATAGATGTGATGTAAAGATAGTGATCGTTAATCGGTTATCCATCTATCTTATCAGGGATCTATCTAATCTAATCTTATCGGATAAGGTGACTTAGGGTTGATAATCGAAATTTAGATGCAGTTGGTAACATTCATGACAGGAAGGCGGAGGATGGGAAAAGGGACAAGGGGAATATTAATAGGGGCGGAGGAATAAGGGGAGCACTTAGAGCACGGCTCTAAGTCGGAGCGGAGGGTTGGAGGGTCAGAGGTGATAACAAGTTGAGACTTGTGTCCAGAGGAGGCAAGGTCCTACTGAGAATTCTCACAAGAGGTAACTGCGAGAAGACGAGTAATATTAAGACTGAGGAAAATATCTAAGTACATGATATGTTATATACTTCTATGTATGAGGCAGTGATCAGGATAACTATGTTGTAAAGCTATGTACCAAGGATATAGTTTGGAAGTACTTTACACAGGCGAAGACATAAGTCGGAGCAGATATCAATATGTATGTGTCAGATCAGTGATCGGGTGGTAATAGGAATTACCGGTGATCCAGAAGTAAGGGTCTATGTACCGAAGGGGAAAGTATATATCTAAAAGGGGAAAGAGGTCCAGTTGAATGGAGAGGTTATGGAAGGGGACTGGTTGAGTGGTTGAGCGGAAGTGTAGGGGCGGAATGTGGACTTGTGATTGGATGGAGCGGAGGATGGATGGAGTGGAGGGGGTTGGAAAGCGGAGTGGATATCAATATCGGAGCGGTCAGATCAGGTATATGACACTTTCCTACCACTTTCAGTGCACTTATTATTGAATGAGAATTTGCTTTGCATGCAAAAAAGGAAAACAAGTGAAATAATAAGTAGAAATCCAGATGACAAGTGGCCTTTTTCAACTCGCTGTCTACTTATTTTCACCCTTGCTTATTTTTGCTTATTGCATGAGAAAAGTTAAATATAAGTAAGATAAGGAACTGGGTGTTTTACTGATGCTATGGTGTCCACATGGATCACCGCGAAGTGCACATGATTATCGATAGAAGATGGCTTCACCATCCACATTCCAATCTCGTCATCTGGTGCATCACCAACTTAGTTGAACCAGTGGACAACTGTGCATGGATAATATCCCCCTTGCAACTGAAAGGAAAAGAATGTGAGTACTTGAGCAATATCCATGCCCTGCATTCCTGGGAGCATGTGGGTCAGTAATTATGAAGACACAGTCTTTATGTGCATGTCCATTTCTCCATTTTGGGGACACACAAATATGCTTGCATTTCATCCCACCAATTTCACTCAAGTCTGATGGTGCAAAGAATGTCAATACTGTGGAATTGAAAACTCATATCTGTCCCTCATAGCGAGGGGACTCCATAAAACTCAAAGGGACTTCTGCGGGGCCTTTGTGTGATGAGTAATATATCATGGGCCTTCGGGGACGTTCTAATAAACAAGTATAATCTCAGTCTCTTGAAAGAAGCTCATCTAACGAGCTAAGTACCTAATAAACAAGTATACTAGGGACTCGTTAGTTGCGTCCTAATTGATATGTAGAGACTATTAACTCACATCTCAGTCTCTTGAAAGAAGCTGAGATGCGCTCATGCTACTGCTTGCGTTCTTATAGTAAACTGGATAGTAACAAAAAATATATCAAACTAATAGGTAGGTTATTGCAGGACACGAGCCAACATCAACATGTTGCTCGTCAATGTCTATTTTGGCTTGGGCTTGGACCACCTGTCACTCTCCCTCAGTCAACCATTTCAGATCTGTCAGTTTTCTTTGTCTCTGATTATTTGGATTATTCAGATTCCAACACTCCCCCTTGAGCACAAGCCAGGGACATTTGCCCTCGTAGCTTTTGCAGGCACAGCTGACCGCTTCGGCCCACAGGTACTTTGGCAAGTCCTTCCCAATAAGCATTGCATGCGCGTGTTCTACTAGCATTCAATTAAGGTGTTCTGCCACGCTGTTCTGCTGGGGTGAGTCGTGTACTGTCAGTTGACGCTCAATACCTTGCTGATGCAAGTAGTTGTTGAAATCTGCACTCAGATATTCTCCCCCTCGGTCCGAACAGACTTTTGCCAGGCAAACACCTGGCAATTGATGCGCTAGTCACATCTCATATGCCTTGAATGCGATGAGTGCCTTGCTCTTGAGCTTCAAAAAATGAAGTTTTGTCTGACGACTATAGTCATCAGTAAAGCTGATATAGCATAGGCACCCACCTAAACTCGTGGTTTGCACTGGCCCCCAGAGGTCCGTGTGCACTAACTCTCCGTAGGTGAGTGCACGGGTCATAGTTTCATCTGGGAATGGCTTTCAAGCTGACTTTGCTTTGACGCAGACATCACAGAACTCTGGCTTTGAGTTAGTGTCAATTTTGATGCCCATGATCAGGCCCTTCTTCACCATGTCCATGACGGCAGTTTGAGAGATGTGTCCGAGGATGTGATGTGCCTCGTTAATGGTGAGCTTCATGGTTGTGACATTAGTGTGATGTTTCTGACGACTTGCTACCACACTATATAGGCCCTCAACTTGAGGAATATCTGCTATGACACGGCACAGGGGCCCTTTTGACAGGATCTTGCACATTCGGCCTTCAAACAGGACAGCTAGGCCACCTGCCGTGATGCGATTGGTCGAGATGAGGGGTAAAGGCCATGGTAGGCTGTGTATAGTGCATTCTTCAGTGTTACCGTTGTGTGCTTCTCACCAAGGGGTAGGTCAATCTGGACATCTCCTCATCCGATCGCACTGAGAGTCGAACCATCTGCTGTATGGACATCTTGGGGAGGAATAGTAATGAAGTTACTGAACTTTGATCGATCTGGACAAAAATGCAATGTTGAACCCGAGTCCACAATTGCACCTCTCTTCTTGATAGGTAAGCCCAGGTCTCTCACTACACTTGCTAAGTCTGACATGATGAAGGCATATTGGTCTTGAGACTCGGCTTCTGCTGCAGAGTTAGCCGCTTGCTTCTGTGTCTTTTTGCCTCTCTTCCTCTGCAGGTTCAGACCTTGCCCTTCTTTTCCCCCTCCAGGCCTCCAACAGTCCATCTTGTAATGGCCCTTTCGGTCACAGTTAAAACAGGTAACATTGGGGTTGGTCTTATTGGTGGAGGATGGTGAGGTCTGGCCTTTTCCTCTTGTCTCCTTTGCAGCGAGAGCTGCGCTAGCTTCCTTCTTGCCGGGACGTCAGTTTGGTGAGCTGTCTGTGCTCGTACTCTTCAGTTATGATGGTGACTAGCTCATAGGAGGTGACAGGAGTTTTTGTGATCTTTCAGGCTGCTGTGATGGACGACAGGAGTGGGCGATATGATTCAGGGAGGGAGCTAAGGATGATCACATGAAAATCCACATCAGCAATCGCGACGCCCATGCCTGCAAGCAGTTCATGGAGCCTCATGAGCTCGGTGAAGTGAGATCTGATGTCTCCTCCCTCATCGCACTTCATCTCTTGCATCCGTCAACATAAGTCTATCTGGACCAGCTCTGTCTTCCCCTCATGGATCTGACATATCTCTTCCCAGATCTTGGATGCATCCTTCAGCTTCTGGATGTGCAGTATGTCACGAATTCCAAACACAAATCACTTTTCATTTCTTGGTTTTCCTTTGGCTACTTCTAGTTACTGAACCAGTCACATGACTTTGCTTCCTGTCACATCTTCACCTCTTCACATATCACCCATTGCATCTCCAATTGGTTCCCCAACTCCACGGGCTAGAACAATCTCAGCTTTCAGAAGAAGTACCTGTTGGATCTTGGGTTTCTCTTTAGTCACCGTCTTACTCATCGCTTATATATCACAACGTCATGATCAGTCATCTGCAGCATTGTACAACTCTTTTCTCATTGGCTGATTTCTTTCATACTCAGATATCTCCTCTTCAATGTTATATATATAAGTAGGTGTTGGAATAACAAGCGCGCCCGCAGCCGAGCGCATCATCATATGATCTTGTTGGTTTTCGTTATTGTCCAGCGACACGTATGCTTCTTTGTGCGCTCTTATGATATGTTTCACTGATTGTACTTACTGAATCTTTTGATCGCTTTGGCCAGCGCCATTTTACTTATTGTTATGGTTTCATACACTTATTCGACCTTACAAGATCACTCAATCTATTTAACTACTGATTGATGCGAGCTGTTACCTTAGACGTTTGCCTTTGCGCTGTGGGTACAACAAGTGCAGCGGAGAGAACTCGATCTACTACACAGTTGTGTCTTCGCTGCCTGCTGCCTCACTTGGGAACAAGTGCGTTTGACCCTTAAGGGGATTGCTACTGGGGAATACTAGTCTCTGTCTAAAACGACCCTACAGGATGAAAGATCCGCAAAAGCGGATGAAGCAGATAGGATGCGAAATGTATGGATTCGTCGGATGGAGCAGATGGCACTTGCAGATTGGACAGGATGCAAATCAAAATCAAAGGAAGTTCATTAAAGATTGGATGGATAGTGAGTATAAGTCAAAGCGATCTTCTGGTAGGGTGCAGGAAAAGTGGGAGAAAGTTACATGAAGTAAGTATTTTTCGAAACCCTCCATGCTTATAGGGTACAGTATTTTCAAGGAACATAGATATATAGGTAGCGAGTCTAGACCGTGCCATAAGGTATCCGAAAAATACTGGAGTGTGAGAGGATATGTCTGTGTTCAGTCAGTAACAAGAAAAATGTGTGTGAGTATGTACCAATGAGGTAGAATGGACGTGTACAGGACGGATGCATGAGCTATAGGAGGAGATCCGAAGGTATCCGCATGTCATCGAAAAGCGGATGTGTATTGGATGGAATGGATAGATGTTGGATGGATGTCGGATGGACGCCTGATGCATTGGAAAAGTGGTGGATACGAGCCTAGCGTAGGGATACTCCCTACACCTGCCAGGGACTTAGATACTGACCATCCCTGGTCAGTTGGTACCAGTGTGAATGGACTTATCAATTTTCTGGTGGAAAGGTCACATGATGCGGATCGGATGAACCGGATCTCCAGATCTATGACAATGGAACCCGAGAATGCAGCTGTGGACTTCTGATGGATGTGAAACGCGAGAAGACGGATAAACATGCATGTGCAAGGCATGTAGTGCTTCTATTCTTTCAACTTTCCCCCCCTTCCTTTGTCTCTCAACATCTCTATCGATCTTTTGACATGTCCGGCTTTTCCTTTGCAGCTTTAGCAACTGATTCAAATGAGGATGAACATATCCGACGCGAATTCGATGTGATCCGTGAACAGCTAGCGGGTGCAGCTAAATCAGTACCAGATGATAAGGATGAGTTGCTGGAGGAGAAGGAGGATTGGATGCAGCTATGGGTAGATCTGACAGTGCGTCCGACTCTGTTGTGACACTCTCTAGTGCTAATTCATCGGATGGTAGACTTGCTTGGAGGCATGCATAACAGTTGGAAGGGGGAAGGGCATTGTCCTTGGGCTATCTGTGGATGAAGTGATTGCAGGTGATGCGGGTCAATCGATGTATGAGCACTTCTGCGGACAGGTCAGCGCGTTGAAGGCAGCCGCTATCCGGACGCCTGAGCCAATTCAGCAGGATACAACGAGTGTTGCGACTGGGATGGTGACTAGGAAGAAGTCGGTGATGGAGGTGAGCATCCCGGATATACCTGGGGTTTCTCGGGCAACTCGATCAAAGTTACCACCAGTGAGTGGTCTCTATGTGTCTAAGCTATCCGCATTAATCAATACCCATCCGCTAGTGCATGAGTGCTAAAGCTCCGATCGATCCGATGCATGTGGTGCATACTCCTCCATGCACTCGATGCCAGGGAAAGGAACTTGTCTGTGAGGGTCCGAAGGGTCAGGGTTGCACTTCCTGCCGGACTGCGAAGCAATCGTGTGACTATGCGACAGGTTCTTGTTCTGCAGGTGAGTGTTGGATGGGATTGGATAGATATCGGATAGATGTCGGATGGCTGACGTCTTTGTATGTAGCGCATAGAGAGAAGGCTGATGTTAGCAGGGCGTCTGCAGTCAGTGCATCTGTGAGCGGGTCTATCCGTCGCACGGTCTCGTCTCCTACTCTGGACTCTGCTGCTAAGGATGCTTCATCGGATGGGGAATCTGAGGTTGCAGCCAATCTGCCGCCTCGTTGTATTTGTCCCCGTCCTACTCGTCAGACTAACAAGGGAAAAGGCCGTGCAATCAATGTCGATGAATATGAGGATGAGAAGTCGAAAATGCGGATGGAAAATGATGAGCTTCATCATGGATTGCGCCTTGTGCAAGGTAAGCTTTTGAAGATGTACGAATTGGCATATGACTTGGTGGATGACCTGAAGAAGATGGAGGCGAAGTTGGTGGATCGCATGTAAGGTGTTTGTGTTGTATCCGATGAATCTGCGGATGATCTGTAGAACAATCCGCTCCAATGTACTTTTTGTATATCTGTTTGTACTCAATCCAATGTCCTTGTCCATGTCCGATTCTAATCCCCATTGGCACCTAAGTAGAGTGAGTAATTGATTGTAAGTAACACTGCATGCGGATCCGATGAAACAGCGGAAATGATACAAGTGGTTTGCGGATAGCTCATCCGACTTGTCTTCATTAACTGTTATTATCCCTTTTCTTCTCGAGTATCTGTGGATGGTGTGCTTCAGATGTAACAGATGAATATGTATAACATGAAATAAAATGTGCATGGTGCCGCTTCATGCGTGCAAAGTAAAACAAATCTTTTGTGGTTTATGTGTGCACTTACTGTCTAATCGGATCGGATGTTGAGTATATAGCGGATGTCTATGCGGATGTGAGTCGGATAGCGGATGGATTGAGTACGGATCGAGAAAAAGATCACCGGACGAAACCCGGGGTAAAACAGATACTAAGTACTCTGATGATGTTTTTGCGGTTGTTGTTCTATGATTTCGGGTTAGTGGATATGTACTGTAAGGGTGTCAAGTTAGATGTGGAATGGAGCATGAAAATGTGCAAAATTTGCGATCTGGTTCTCCGATGTATTTCTCCCTCAGACTTTGCATGATGACCTCCTGGTCATCCAAGTGGCATGGAAAGTGATCAGGTAGCTGGACATATACGAGTGTGATCAGGTTGTCGAATTGGATCGGATGGTGGATGGATAGTGGGCGGATGATGGATGGGTGATTGGCGGATGACAGATGGATCGGGTGACAGACAGGTCGGATGGGTAGCGGGCGATGAATGGGTGATGAATGGACAATGAATGGATGATGGTCGGATGATATGCAGGAAATGATCGTTTATGCGCCCATGTTGGGATCGGGTTCCTCTTCGTCTGACTTGTCAACGTCCATTCCTACCATATGATCCGAGATGTCATATTCAGATGGCAGGCTAGTACCCGGTGAGATGTACTCTTGTGTTTGTCAATCCGTGCTCAATGCGTGATGATGAGGGGCAATGCGAATGATGGGTGTAGTGGATGGGTGAACTTGGTACCAATATGACTGTTGGACTATATGAGGGATCCGCTCGTTCAGATGTATCCCAGTATCGGATGTATGGGAGCGGGTCGTATCAGATGGTGCGGGTGCATGCGATGGAGGTTGGTCGTGTACTTGGAATGCAGTGTGCGTGGTTTCCTGTAAGGTTTGGATCGATGCTATCCGACGTATCCTAAGTGCAGAAAGTGCGGATGAGATGTGTGATGGTGACATGTGCAGCATAGACACGGGTTGATAGGCTTTGTGTGACTGTGGGTCGGAACTAAATTCTATCCGATGCAGATTGTTAAAATGACTGTGCGGGTACGATGCTAATAACCCTATGCGATCATCGGGAATATCCCGGATGACCCGAAAATCATCGGATGGGAATGTGGAACTAAACTCGAGATGTCTCCTTAAGAGACCCAGATGTAAAATAGACTGAACTCGCAATATGAATGCAACGATTAAAACAGCGGACAGAAAATCAACATCCATGACGCCTGCCTTCCAAGTAACTACATGGAGTACTGGAAGTGAGCTAGGGTCATGTGATGCAGAAATGGTGGACGGAAAATCAACATCCATGACGCCTGCCTTCTGAGTAACTACACGGAGTACTGGAAGCGAGCTAGGGTCATGCAATGTGAAAACGGTGGACGGAAAATCGGATAAAGCGGATTCGTTAGTAATACGTGCGGTTCTGTCAGATGGATTCAAGTCTACAAGCGGACAGGTTGAGCTGGCTAGTGGTGCGATGATCTGTGGGTAAGTATCTGATCCGCTATCCGATGCCTGTGAAATAGCGGATGGTTCGATGTTGTCAAAGAATGGTAGTTTGTCAATAAATGTCGATTCGTCTGTAAAAGGGTCAAATATGTCGCTCCAATGGACGTATTCCTCAGAGGGTAGATCATCCGTGATGCATGCAGATACCTCAGCAGATGGGTCGGGTGCAGGGGACTTAGCTTCCAATGCTTCGTCGATGATGACTTCAACTGGTTCCTGCTGATAGTAGTGCGTACCCCAGAATCCTGGGTAAAGTTGCAAGACTGCATTAGCGAACTCCTCATAGTTATCACCGCATGATTCCTCCTGGTAGGTCCATAGGTCTGCCTCGTCCTCTTCTGTGTACCGCAGGGCTGCCTTGATGCAAGCCGGATCCGATAATCCAACGATATCCACTAATCGCGCAACTTCATGGAAGAAGGGGAGTGGTTCCGAAGCGATACCAGTAAACCGTGGTGCGATGTCCGATGTGCTCGGAGGCATGAAGCTCATTGCGGATGACATTTCTATGCGGGGTGCAAGTGTTAGGCATTAGGACTGGGTTGAGGAACACTATGCGCGATTCCTTGACAGTGAAGCGGATCGGAACAGATAGAAAAAAAAATGGATAGAAAGCGGATAGGAACAGGTCTAAAGTGACTGCTAGCTTCCCAGATGATCCCCTTGTGGTGGGCTCCAGTTGTGGGTACAACAAGTGCAGTAGCGAGAATCCGATCTACTACACAGTTGGGTCTTTGCTGCCTGCTGCCTCGCTTGGAAACAAGCACGTTCGACCCTTAAGGGGATTGCTACTGGGGAAAATACTAGTCTCTGTCTAAAGAGACCCTATAGGATGAAAGATCCGCAAAAGCAGATGAAACGGATAGGATGTGAAATGTACGGATTCGTCGGATGGAGCAGATGGCACTTGCAGATTGGACAGGATGCAAATCAAAATCAAAGGAAGTTCATTAAAGATTGGATGGATAGTGAGTATAAGTCAAAGCGATCTTCTGGTAGGGTGCAGGAAAAGTGGGAGAAAGTTACATGAAGTAAGTATTTTTCGAAACCCTCCATGCTTATAGGGCACAGTATTTTCAAGGAACATAGATATATAGGTAGCAAGTCTAGACCATGCCATAAGGTATCCGAAAAATACTGGAGTGTGAGAGGATATGTCTGTGTTCAGTCAGTAACAAGAAAAATGTGTGTGAGTACGTACCAATGAGGTAGAATGGACGTGTACAGGACGGATGCAGTGAGCTATAGGAGGAGATCCGAAGGTATCCGCATGTCATCGAAAAGCGGATGTGTATTGGATGGAATGGATAGGTGTTGGATGGATGTCGGATGGACGCCTGATGCATTGGAAAAGTGGTGGATACGAGCCTAGCGTAGGGATACTCCCTACAGCGCGCACGATCTGAGGAAAGATACCTAGTTCTCACTTTCATTCACCTATGCTTACTTTCTGTAGAGAGTCTGTTTAATCTAGACCCGCGCGATTGTATTAACCTTTTAGGTTATGAGCCCTGAGCTCTGAAGGAAGCTCAACGTCTCACATTTCCCTGCCACAAGCTGGCAATACACGATGTCAACTACTGTCCCCATCACCACCGATATGCTGCCCACAAACGTGCCCAAGCTCAACCTTAAGGGCACCAACTGGGCAATCTTCTCACTGCGTTTCCAGGTCGCCATCGAAGCAAAGGAGCTATGGAAACAGTTCAATGGAACAAACCCCAAGCCCGTCGGCTCACCCTATAACATCCTGGAGGAACTACCACAACATCCCCTCCTGACCCTATCGCACTGGCTCAATGGCAGAAACATGAAAATCTCGCAAAACATTTGCTTACCCAACGAATCCCAGACTCTACTGCGTTACGTGTACGGAATTTGCCCGACATTGTCGCAATGTGGAAGGAGATCGTGTGTGAATACACTGAAAAGGGTGCTTATGTGCAGACGGACCTTTGCACAAAGTTTCTAGAGTCAAAATGTTCTGCCAGGAGCGACGTACGCTCTTTCTTAGACGAGCTGTGTGCTAAGCGTGACAAGCTGTCAGCAGTAGGCATCCAGATAGAGGAGAAAGACTATCGATCCACCATAATCCAATCCCTCCTGAACCATCTTGCGAGTTTTGCCTCCGGGCAACTCACCACCGCTCAACTCTATAGCCCATCAAAGACTATCAACCCAGACATCCTCATCTCGTTGATTATCGAAGAGTCCGAACTGTCGCAGCAGAAAAGATGGTAGAACATCACGAAACCATGTCAGTGCCAGGACCCATGGTACAGACGAGGCCATGGGAGTCATAGACTCACAGCCTCGAGGCCGAGGAGGTAGAAGGGGGTTCAGAGGAACTAATCATGGTGGAAGGGGGACTGGGAGACCCCGTCCCCCATGCTGGAACTGCAACTCGCGTGAGCATTTCAAAGCTCAGTGTCCTGAGCCAGACCGCAACCCTCAAACCGCTGGCACTACTCGCAATGCTCATGGATCTGTGAATGCAGCAGCAGATTCCGACTCCGAGAGCGATAGCGTTTTCACTATTGACGAGCTATCAGACTTAGAGACTGAGAGCTCTATCACCGAAAAGAGCTCAATCCCCGACCTCCTCACCAAATCCTGAGTCATCCGATGACAATGCCGCTGCTAGCGTATCACCTGACGATGAAGATCGTTTCTCCGAAGTAGGAGATGACACCGCATACTTGGATGACCCCAATTGTGTTTTCATCGACAGTCTAAGCAGTGACAGTTTCACTGCAAGCGATGATGAGATCATCGCCGAAGTTAGTGATGGGCACAAGAGCAATGGACCCACCATCAAACTCTATGACTCTGGGTCCACGCATCACATTTCCCCATACAAAGAGCACTTCGACACCCTTTCCACTATCTCCCCAAAGTCGTTCACAGCTGCTAACAAGCAATCTTTTAGCGCAACTGGAATTGGTGAGATGATCATAGAAGTACCAAACGGCGTCGATGCATCCAGGTTCCACCTCACCAAAGTTCTCTACTCTCCTGAAGTTGGATATACCCTTGTATCCATCGGACGCCTCGACGAACTCGGCTTCTCAGCCACCTTCGCAGACGGAAAACTCACCCTCCATGACCCCACTGAC